ATATTGAAAAAGTTGAAACTGACAGAAATGGTTGAACAGGGGTTGAAACTAACAAATATATTGAAAAAGTTGAAACTGACAGAGATGGTTGAACAGAGATTGAAACTAACAAATATATTGAAAAGTTGAAACTGACAGAGATGGTTGAACAGAGATTGAAACTTCTCCTCGTTGTCTGTAAATTTTTCCAATGACATCAATTCGATTATATTTACTTCAAAAGTATAAAAAACAAATCTTAACTATCGGTAGTCAAATGAGATTCCATTTCAATACTGAAGCTGTTTACTTTGATGTCCAATTCTGACATGTTTGTTGAGAGAAATATTCCTTTCTCTTTTTTTTCAGACTTACTACTCAAATGTATCACCATTGCTTATTAAAATGATAATGTTGCTGTAAAGTCCAGAGAGAAAGATCTAGTCGAAATGCTCGTGTGTTCTCAAACCATAAGTCTAAGTATAACCCAATCTTTTGCTTACTTTTACCCTTTTTTTTTCTTAGACAAATAAGCTTAAGTCTAGTTATATAAGAGCCTAGTCTAATACGTATGCTCCTTCTCATGCCTTCATTGATAGCCTCAAGGGCGTTTAACGTACTTTCTATAGGATATGTTCTCTTCACTCGGAAGTACTTCCGATCATTTCGTATAGAGAGCTTCTGCTTGTTCAAGGACTTAGATACAAAGGTGATGCAGTAATCAGAGTAGGTAAAGAAGGATCTGAACAGCATACAGCAAAAGCACAAAGAATGGAATTAGATGCAGTTTGCCTTTTCTCTTTCGTAAATACACTAGTTTCGAGACACTGCTCCCATTTCCACCTAACTGGATGTAGCTTCAAAAAATAATTACAGCGTCGAACCAGATTTCAAGCGGATTTATTAAACTTGGAATTTATTCACTGAAATGTTATCAATACTTTCTGTATTATATTATCATAAGCTTACTTTTCGATCATTATTCATTACGTGATTTTAACAACTGAAATGCCCCCCCCCTACTCCAGTGGCACTGCGGCATGTCTGCGGACTTACAACGCTAGAAACCGAATTTCGATACTTGTGGTGGGCAGAGCACAGAGATAGCCCATTGTGTATCTTTGTGCTTAACTTCAAACAAACAACTGAAATAAAGTGCGCAGCAAATATCCACGAAAATACTCTGAGATTATAAATATAAAAACAACTTTACGATAGCTTTGTCCTGTTCTTATGAATAATTCTATGTTGTATTACTTAATTGGTAATAGTACATGACGTAAGGCCGATGATTTTCGACTTTTTTTTTAGTCACCGGTAAAATACTGCACAAAATAGATCAGACACTGATTAAACCTACATGTTATTGTCTCTTGGTGTGACTTGATTTAGTGAAAAAGTCACTGAAGAAACCCGATTTCTTTCCATCAGATCTTTACCTTTAGAGACACAAAATAATAGTGTATCCAGATGTAATGCAAAAAGTCACTGAGAAAACCTGATTTCTTTCCAAAACAATAGTTGTGACGTCGTCTAGAGCAAATAACGCTACAGAAGATACCCGACTTATTTCCATTTGATTTTTACAGTAAAAGACTAAAAACAACAGTGTGGCGTGGTTTTGTACTATAAATTTAAAGACATCTTTCTATAAGCTCTTTACCTTTAGAGACGTGTCCGCTCTCAAAAATTAACATTATTTATGAATGTGATTTTATACCCTAATACTTCTAAAAATATGTTTTTTGTGTCTTAAAGACACTATTCCTACTTGTACCATATCAAGAATGGTGTACTTGAATCGGATCAAGAATAGTGTACTTGCATCGGATCAAGAAATGTGTACTTGCATCGGATCAAGAATGGTGTACTTGTACCATATCAAGAAGGGTGTACTTGTACCATATCAAGAAGGGTGTACTTGTACCATATCAAGAATGGTGTACTTGTACCATATCAAGAATGGTGTACTTGTACCATATCAAGAATGGTGTACTTGTACCATATCAAGAATGGTGTACTTGTACCATATCAAGAAGGGTGTACTTGTACCATATCAAGAAGGGTGTACTTGTACCATATCAAGAAGGGTGTACTTGAACCATATCAAGAATGGTGTACTTGTACCATATCAAGAATGGAGGGTGTACTTGTACCATATCAAGAAGGGTATACTTGCATCATATCAAGAAAGGTGTACTTGCACGATATCAAGAAGAGTGTACGTGCACCACATCAAGAAGGGTTGCACTTTGAACATTTGTTGGGACAATTCTCTTTACCATTTAAAAACATTTCTGTGTACCATCGAAAACTATATAACTGAAGAAAATTGAAAAGTAATCCTCGTATGATACTCCTACATTACTCCTAAATTACTCCTACATACAGTAACTAAGAAAAATAAGGCAAGTTATTTGTATTAAGAACGTTTATTAGGAAACTAAGGCAAAAGCAAAAGTGATGGAAGTGAGAAAATGGAGTTACTAACCGCACCATGTAAATAGAAATGGAGTTACTAACCGCACCATGTAATAGAAATGCAGTTACTAACCGCACCATGTAAATAGAAATGGAGTTACTAACAGCACCATGTAATTAGAAATGGAGTTACTAACCGCATCATGTAATAGAAATGGAGTTACTAACCGCACCATGTAAATAGAAATGCGGTTACTAACGCACCATGTAATAGAAATGGAGTTACTAACCGCACCATGTAAATAGAAATGGGGTTACTAATCGCACCATGTAATAGAAATGGAGTTACTAACCGCACCATGTAATAGAATTCCGTTCCAAAGCGTCAGCAGATGAAAATATTTTGATAGTAAATCCACCTACTCAGCTCTCTTATTTTGGGACTTTTGACTCCTAAAATTCACACCCACTTGTATATGTGTATCTGAATAAGACCGTAGAACAGTGGTTCTCAACCTTTTGTGGCCCTCGCACCCCTCCTCCAAAAACTGTGCATTTGTGCGCGCACGCGCACTTAGAATAAATTCATTTCTTTCTTCTTTAATCATCAAATATCAAAACCAAAACTGTTTCCATTTTCATGTTATTAAATTGTATGAAATGACTAAACCCAACAACTTGAGATAAAGTACTTTGGCAACATTTGGGGAAAAACCTTGTATAGGCCTCTTCCGCGCATCCCCCCCCCCGAACCCTCATTTCGCATCCCCAGGGGGTGGCAACATCCCTGGTTGGGAACCTCTGCCCTAGAATATAATACGTGAATAGTCAAAATAGGGAAGATATGCACATAAAAGTACATGATCTTACGTTTCTGTTGTCAAAATCGATACTTCGAAATATAGAACTATATAAAAAAAATAGTATCATAGCACGGGAACCGAAACGAACTAATTCGAGTAACAATTTAAACTAGATGTACTTGCTCGGAGGTCACCAAAAGTACTCTGTTTCAAGAGTAAATAAAACCAAAATTAAGAATAACAAATATTCAAGTTCATATGTCATGCTGTGTTGTAGCCTACAGAGTGAATAATTCTTCTCGTGATTCATCGCATGCGCACGTTTTACTGATGTCACGACAGTACAAATTGCAACGTTATGTGACGTCATTTTAGTGTCCACTGACTGACTGACTGAACCAGCACTACTGTATAGAGATGCGAATGGTTAAAACAGGAGACCCCTCCAGGTGGCCTTTCGCCCCCTTTCGTGAAAACAATAAAGTAATGGTAAATTGGATATGATGGCGACACAATGAAGATTAAATAATGTCGGGGATCTTGTAGGGTAAATACCGTAAAAACTGTTTGTTTGTTTACTTGTTTCGGAATTTCCCGAAAAGCTACGTAAGAGCTATTTGTGCACACACAGAGAACACACTACTGTATAGTTGTGTGAGTGATTAAAACAGGTGACTCTTCCAGGCTATTTCCTAACTCTGAACTTATAAGCTGGAGGGAAAGCAGCTGGACAACAACATCCACCACCAATTCTTGAGCTACTCGTCTCTGAATTAAATTGCACATTATTGGATCTAACTAATGTACCACACAACCGGATGGTATATTTATTACAAACACTGGTCTATCGCTGAATATCGTTAGCTTAGTATAATCAATGTGTAAGATCTAGAAATTATTACATATAATGTTTGAAGGTTAAGAGGAAACACGGGAATATAGAATGTGTTACGAATCAATCCCCACACTGCAAAATACAACAAAAACAAAGGATATGAGTGCACGTAACAGATAACTTAAACAGAAGACGAACGACCAAAAATGAACCAAAATTTGAGAGTTTACAGTGCTATCTATAGTTCTAATAGTGGATGTTATCACTACTTACAGAAGAAAGGTTTATAGTCAGATTGTCAATCCTGACAAGAAAAAAAAAAGTACAATCACGTAATTTTACGTGCCTATCATTCCCCCTAATTATCAGAGAAAATTTCCAATAACCCGAGATCTTTCGAAAAGAGGACTATTTCTTCATTCGGAGTAGTTATAAAGTGGGGATCTCACTATTTAAACCAATGAAGTTAATAAAAGCTTTGCAGTAAGAATACATTTTGGTCTTAATGTTTTATTAAAACATATTCCTTCTACAAAATGTTTATCACTCTTCCACATTTTTCAATCTGTGGCTCGTTTATCTTATTTAACTGAGGTTAAAGTGAATCTATATTTTTACAATGCAATATAAAATTATTGCTTAAATCTTTTTTTTTAATTCCTCTTAAATTTGTGTTTCTGGCACTTAGAAATTGACGAAAATGCAAAACTCGATAACCCGAGCTCTCTCAAAAATTGGGCTTTTCTTCATCAAGGATAAACTGATGAAGAAGGGTCCACCTTTCGAAAGGGCTCTGGTTGTATTTTTGTCTTAAAGTAATTTTTTGAATCTACGTCTTTTCCTAACATTCACGTTTATCTCTACCTAAACTGAAACCCATGTGAACCCGTGTTTCTGAGCGATCATTACTGTCACAAGTGTGTCAGATTTGTTTGCTTAGAACCTGTCTTGTGATAACATACCCTTACTCAAGTTCTCCCGAATCTGGAGTCCCGATACGTGTTGTAGCTGCTCACTGATCACCAGAGCCTCGTCGCTCATCGTGTATCGTACCCGAGGGATGCTGGCTTCACACTTTAACCTCATATTTCCATTGGTGAAGTGGTCAGAGGTTATCAAGAATCGGAGACTCAAACAGGATACCTCCAGACCGTCGTCGTGCAAGATGGTTGAATAAACGGTTTCATAGTCTGCTCCAACCTGTGTTATTAAAATATCAGAGGATCTATTGATTAGTTTAGTAATTTCAGAATAATTTTACGAATTTCGGCTATGTAATTATTATTGTTTAACACGATACTTTTACAATCCAAAACCGGTGTTGACTCAGCTCTTTCTCATCGTACTGTAACACTAAGAAATACACATAACTATAATATTATTTTAAACCGGATTTACTTTACAGGTTCAGCATGTGGACTGTGATGTTACGAAAATTTACTGCCTGTGGCCTTGAAACGACATTATTGGCTTTACAGTAAAAAAAGACTTCACAGTTTGAATGTATGTCTACTTACCTATACACTGCCACTATACCTAATTACATATACCCTGTCAGTATATCTAATTACCTATACAATTTCAGTATATCTAATTACCTATACCCTGTCAGTATATCTAATTACCTATACAATTTCAGTATATCTAATTACCTATACACTGTCAGTATATCTAATTACCTATACAATTTCGGTATATTTAATTACCTATACAATGTCAGCATTGTATAGGTAATTAGATAAACTAGATATACTGACATTATATAGGTAATTAGATATACTGACAGTGTATAGGTAATTAGATATACTGACAGGCCTATACAATGTCAGTATATTTAATTACATATACAATGTCAGTATATCTAGTTACCTATACAATGTCAGTATATCTAGTTACCTATACAATGTCAGTATATCTAATTACCTATACAATGTCAGTATATCTAATTACCTATATAATGTCAGTATATCTAGTTGCCTATACAATGTCAGTATATTTAATTACATATACAATGTCAGTATATGTAATTACCTATACAGTGTCAGTATATCTAATTACCTATACAATGTCAGTATATCTAATTACCTATACAATGTCAGCATATCTAGTTACCTATACACTGTCAGTGCTGTTAATTATCTGCACATGCAAATATATCTAATTGTCTCCACACTGTCAGTATGCCTAATTGCCTGAATCTTTAATTACCTGTAAATAGCCATCATTTTTACTCTTCTGCAAAACGATAAATATAAAATAAAAGGTTAGTATTCCTAATGACGTATACATGATTAGTTTTCCACTAACCTGTATGCTGCTAGTATGTCTAATAATATGTATAGGTTAGTATTCCTAATGACGTACACGTGATTAGTTTTTCTATAACCTGTATACTGCTAGTATGTCTAATAATATGTATAGGTTAGTATTCCTAATGACGTACACGTGATTAGTTTTTCTATAACCTGTATACTGCTAGTATGTCTAATAATATGTAT